TCTTCATTGACTACAGAGTATTTGCCTACATCTGATGAATGGCTTGAAGTATGTAGAACGAAAACCCAGCGCTTAAAATTGACATTTTACAAGAAAACAATATTAAATAATTAAAAAATAGAAGAAAATCAATTAAATATAAATTATAAAAATGTATAAAATTCACAGGGAGCCCAGGCACTATGATCAACTGTACGCACTCCCTGTGAGCTGACGAGTGACGTCATTCCCGGGCGCAAGTTGATGTACCAGTCTCCCTAGGGAACTAGTAATTTGCCTGGCGTTACTAGGGTAATTTAGCCGATAACACGTGATCCTGTTTTGACCAATTACAATCACAGGGAGTTGGACAAACTTGTGTATTTTAATAAATTATTAAATAATAAAATGTTATATAACTTTTGTTTTACCCCCCTTCCTGGTATCGATTTCAAGTAATCACTGATCTTTGTTTATACCACTCTTTCCTTCATCACAACTTTGTTACGCGCTAATGTTATATGCAAATTTTAACGCGCGTTGTAGACACACCCTATATCCCAAGGGTTGAAACGCGCAGGACTGTGGCATAAACTGAAATCACGCATTCGAACCTTTCAAAGTTCGTTTCCTTTACATATATGGCATCTGTAATGACATGGATGGCATTAGAAAGTGACACAATTGCATTTGCACTTGAATATTTGTCAAATTAAAACTCATTGCGATCGAGCGACATGGCAGGAGCACAACCGTAAAGCCGGAAACCGGATGTTTCGAACTTTGACCTCTATCGCAAAGAATGACTCATATTGTTGTGTCACATGATCAGAAGTAAACAATTTTCCCATGAATTGTGCTGCTGCTATTTTGATTATTTTCATTAGAAACATCTCGAAGAGCAACGCGAACGACATTTTAAGTAGAAACCATTTTACAGAAGAAGAGTCACTGATTCATTGAAGTTGCGTAGCGTCGGAGATTACACTTTTAAATTTCGCGCGCAGCATTTCTTGTTTATTAATGCATCTCATGAATAAATTAAATGCCCACCGGCTTTACGGTTGTGCTCATGCCACAGTCCTGGCGCGTTTCAACCCTTGGGATATTTTACTATAATAGGGTGTGTCTACATCACGCGTTAAAATTTGCATATAACATTAGCGCTAACAAAGTTGTGATAAAGGAAAGAGTGGTATAAACAAGGGGGTAAAAGACCAGGAGGGGGTAAAAGAAAAGTTATATAACATTTTATTATTTAATAATTTATTAAAATACATAAGTTTGTCCAACTCCCTGTGGTACAATATTAACGAGTGATGTGTTATAATAGCAGCTAGTGACTCGTTACGCCACGGCCCCGGATTCATAAGGCCTGGCAGTTGCGCTGTGACGGAGGGGACTCAACGAAAACAGTCTAGTGGACTATGCAGTAACTCCCTGCTTGAGTGTCTATCAGGCCTCGCATTTACTACAGAGCTAGACGAGCTTTCAGAAAAAAGGGTAAAGCATTATTGTGTTGAGACCAAGTCTTCAACGCAGAAGACAAACCTCTTCAATCCCCGCCCCTTTAACCTGGGCCATTGCTCACTGACACACCTCAATAAAATAAATCTTATAGAGTATCCATATTACATCGAATCAGTCTACTAGGGAGTAGCCACACTTGCGTATGTTTGCGGTAATACAATTTAATATTTCAAAATTCGTTAGAGTTGTGAGTCAAACAAAAATATTCTGGTGTCAAAATAACTTCAATATGCGTGTATAAAATCTATGACCTATGCAGTATTTTCGACATTAATGTGTTTTGACTTATTGACACTTTCCAAAAACGCCCTTCCTCGTGACTCCCCACATTGTTCTCACATGACCAGTGAAGTGGTAGTATATATTTATCGCCTAATACTACAGGTACCATTCACAAGCTGGTCTAGCCAACACGTCGCAGGACAGTTTCTATATTTTTTCGGTGAGTATTTTGCATTCAATTATGTATAACATACAAAACCTCGCAATATTTGAAATGATTAACGTTCAAGTTCCTAAAAAAAACAAAAAAAACAAAAAAAAACAAACAAAAAAAAGTGAACAAATGTGCTCCTTCTTTGTATTGCGTTTTTTCAAATATGCATGCGCATTATAAATATAATATGGGGTTCACGTGCACTTCCCTACCCAAATAATACTACACTGCGCACAACTGGTTGGTGCATTGTACCTATGTGTACAGCCTGGCAATACAGTGATACCATACAAAGTATAACGTTATATATATATCTCTAAACGTATGTAACCATCATATATATAGTTTCTGAAGTGACAGTCATTGCACATGAAGTGTTTATTTTTATTTTCAGAGAGGTAGAATTAGTTACGAAATTGATCGTCGAATACAATTATTCTATTTAGCGTGGTTACGATTCTGATACCATTTTTAAAGTTTCATACTATGCCGCAGCGTAAGACATCACGCATAACTTATATTAACTGCATAGTCTTCCATGTCTGCCGATTTTCTTACTCGCAACGTCCAGTTTTGAAAAAGTCAATATAATCACGTATTATTTGTCCTCTGTCATGTCACTAATATGTCCTTTCAAACTTACGGAGAGTGTTGTTCTGTTGCCAGACCGAAACGCCTCGACATATTTACTTAAAGGGGTGTGACCACTTACATCGGTTTATACAATGTATACTCCCATATAAATCACGATCACTTTAGAAAACAAAGTGGTCACATATTACAATCACTACCCCAAAATATATAATGGGCCGGCCCGTACAATAAACCTTTGCTGTATGCCGCGCCCGCTAACGACGGAGTGTAAGTTTGCGCAAGAAATGACGTGCGCCAATAAGAATATAGCAAATCTAAAAAAAAATTGTTATTAATTTATTGTCCAGCGAACATAGTTCAAAAAGCATTGTAGGAA